GAGGGTGAAGCCGGAAGGCTCTTTGGAGTCAAGGATTCTGAAGCTTCGCCTGACATATTTTGGGCATGTTGCAAGGAGGGACTGGTTCTTGGAGAGGGACATCATGTTTGGCAGAGAGAAGGGATGGCGCAGGAGAGGAAGACCCTCGATGAGATGGATCGATTCTGTGAGTGGACTGGTGAGAATGAGTGTGTTTGAGACAGCGAGGTTGGCACAGGATAGAACAGCGTTTAGGGCTCTTGTACACAGGGTCGCTATGAGTCACAAGCAACTCAATGGCACATAACAACATTTTATTCGTTATTCCTACACTTGATCTTAGCCAAAAGGCCGAGAAGCGATTATTCATTATTCCTTAAATCACTATTTTCTTACTCATTCCAATAATTTCCAAATGTCCTTGTCAATGTAGGTGGAAAATCTAGCATATCCCAATACCTTTAAAAGAAGAGATTCTCAAACTCTGCAAAAATCTCACAAGACTGGAACTGTCAATTCAAGGATTTAATAACTAACTAGTACACAATAAGGGCATGCTGATGGCTTAGTGGTAAGGAGCTGTGCTGCCAACCCAAAGGCATTCAGTTTGAATTCACCAGCTGCTTCATGGAAGAAAGATGGGCCATCTTCTCCCACACAATTCACAGCCTCTAAAAATCTGCTGGAGGGTCATCTATAAGTCAGTTCCAACTCGATGGTGCATAATAACAGCGAACAAAAAAATCCACTACAGAAACTTCCACTTCCCCTTGTATGGCAAACAGATATCCTGAAAGGCCCTTCTATTAGACTAGATCCCAAGTAAATTAAAGCAAGGGTGTTTTTAAATACATTTTAAATCAAAGGAGGGGGAACCCTAGTATGAAGTCTCTGGGTGTCCAAAGATGTTTTGTTCACTCAATTTGAGCTACTTTCTTGTATGATTTTGTTTATGAGCTCATATTTGGTTGAACCTAATACATGAGATAAGGGAGCTCTGGTGGCCTAATGGTTAAAAAGTTGCACTGCCAACCCAAATGCAGG